AAGTTGATATTAATGTTTCCACCTTGACTTAGAAAGTGAAGGTAACCATTTAAGAAAAATCTAAGATAAGAAATGAGAAGAGAATCAATATGGTAAACTAGAATATTCAATTAATCACAAAAGTAAGTGGTAATAAACAAAGTGAGGAACATATAGAAATAAAAAGCAAAAAGCAGAATTAAGCCCTTCTAACTCAGTAATTATTTGAAATATAAATGCATTCAACTCTCCAATTAAAAGGCAGAGATTGATAGAATAGACTAAAAAACGTGAATATGCTGTCTATAGGAGACATTTTAGATCCAAAGACACAAATAGGTTGAAAATGGATGAGAAAAAGTATTCCATACAAATAGAACCAAAAGAGAGCTGGGATGGCTATGCTAATTTCAGACAGAATAGATTTTAAGCAAAACATTGTCACAAGAAGAAAAAGGACATTATATATTGATAAATGAGTCACTCCATCAAGAAGATAAAATAGTTATGAACATGATACATACTAGAGCCACCTGGGTGACTCAGTTGGTTAAGTATCTGACTTTGACTTAGGTCATGATCTCAGAGTCCTAAGATCGAGCCCCATGTCCATCCGGCTCTGTCACACAGCAGGGAATCTGCTTCTCCCTCTCCCTCTGCCCTGTGCCTGCTTATTCTCTCTCTTTCTCACATAAATAAAGTCTTTTTTTTGTTTGTTTGTTTTCTTTGTTTTAAAAGATGTAATACATACCAAACAGGGGCACCTGGTTGGTGCAATTGGTTAAACATCTGACTCTTGGTTTTGGCTTAGGTCTTGATCTCAGGTCATGATCTTAGGGTTGTGAGATTGAGCCCTGTGTCAGGCTCCTTGCTCAGTGCAGAATCTGTTTGGGATTCTCTCTACCTCTCCCTCTGGCCTGTCGCTTACGCTCTTTGTCTTTCTCAAAATAAATAACTAAATTAAAAAAAAAAAGAATACATACCAAACAGCAGAAACCCAAAATATATGAAGCAAAAATTGACAGAATTAGAGGGAGAATAATAGTTGAGATAATAATAATAGTTGAGACTTCAGTGCCCCATTTAAATAATGGGTAGAACAACTAAACAGAAGATCAAAGAGGGAAAACACTTCAGTGGCACCCAGATGGCTTAGTTAGTTAAGTCTCCAGACTGTTGACTTTGGCTCAGGTCATGATCTCAGGGCTGTGAGATCGAGACCCATGTTGGGTGTGTGCTGAGTGTGGAGTCTGCTTGGGAATCTCTTTCTCCTTCTCCCTTTGCCTTTTCCCCCACCTCTCTCTCTTTCTCCCCCTCTCTAAATTAAAAAACAAAAACAGAAACAAATCACTTTAACAACAGTATAAAACAGATCTAACCAACTTATATAGAACACTTTAGCCAACAAGAGTAGAATACACATTTTTCTCTGTTGTACATGGAAAATTCTCCAAGATAGACTATGTATTATGCCACAAAAGAAACCATAATACATTTAAAAAGATTGAAATCATCCAAAGTATCCTCTCTGATCAGAATGGAATGAAACTAGAAGTCATTAAATTGGAAAATTTGAAAACTGGAAAATTCAGAAATAAATGGAAATTAAAATAACACATTCTTTTTAAAAAATTTTACTTTATTTTTTGTTTTTGACTTTTTAAAAATTTTATTTTTTTTCAGTGTTCCAAAATTCGTTGTTTATGCACCACACCCAGTGCTCCATGCAATATGTGCCCTCCACAATACCCACCACCAGGCTCACCCACCCCCCACCCCCTCCCTTCCAAAACCCTCAGTTTGTTTCTCAAAGTCCATCGTCTCTCATGGTTTATCTCCCCCTCCGATTTCCCAGTTATGCTGAGTGAAATAAGTCAAGCAGAGAGAGTCAGTTGTCATATGGTTTCATTTACTTGTGGAACATAAGGAATAACATGGAGACATTGGGAGATGGAGAGGAGAAGTAAGTTGGGGGAAAATAACACATTCTTAAACAACTACTGGGTCCAACAAGAGATTACAAGTGAAATTAGAAAATACTTTGAAATAAATGAAAATGAGAACACAACATACTAAAACCTATGGGAAAGTAGTACACAGAAGGAAATTTGTAACTATAAATATTTACATTAAAAACAAAGATCCCAAATCAATAACCTAACTTTACACTTTTAAGGAACTTGAGAAAGAAAAGCAACCTAAACCCAAAGCTAGCAGATGGAAAGAAATAATAAAGATTAAAGCATAGATAAATGAAGTAGAGAATAGGAAAACAGTAGAAAGAGTCAGCAAAAGCAAAATTTGAAAAGCAAATTTGAAAATGTCAAAATTGATAGTTTTATAGCTTGACTGGCCAAGAGTTAAAAAAAACAACAACACAGAAATAACTGAAATCAGAAATGGAAATTGTGAACATTACCACAGTCTTAAAGAAATAGAAGACTATAAAGGAATATTATGAACAACTTTTTGTTAATGAATTTGATATCCTAGATGAAATGGATACATTCCTAGAAACACAGAAACTACCAAAACTGACTCAAGAGGAAATAGAAAATTTGAACAGACATTGAACAGTTAAAGAGAGTGAATTAGTAATCAAAAACTTCTCAACGAATAAAGGCCCAAGACCAGAAAGCTTAACTCATGATGCTACCAAATATTTAAAGAATTATCATTAGTCCTTCTCAAACTTAAAAAAAAAAAAAAAAGAAAAAGAGGGAATACTTGCTAACTCATTCTATATTAACAGCCTTATCCTGATACCAAAGACACATAAAAATATCACATGAAAAGAAAATGATAGACCTAGTATCTTTTATGAATATAGATCCAGAAATCTTCAGCAAAATCCTAGCAAGCCAAATCCAGCAGTGTATTAAGAGGATTATACATTATAGTTAATATTATTTTAGTTCCTAGCATCTCCCTCCTTCTATTTCTTCTTTCTGCTGCTGCTGTAAATCTCTTCAGAACTTAGGGCCCACATTCATATATTTAATACTGTTTCCTGAAGAATATTCTTCCCATGCTTACTGAGTCTTGTAATAATATATGGCACTGTATGTTTATATCCCCACTCCCTTTTTTTGTGCTTTAGATATTTTACAATTATAAAATCTTATTATATTATTTTTTTCCTCTTGCTGTATGCCTCTTTCCCAACTTTTCATTTTGAAAGTTTTGAATCTACAGAATACTCTTAACCTGCACTCAACAATTGTTGACATATTGCCATGTTTGTTTTTCTTTTCCTCTCTTATCTATATACACATATACACACACACACTTTTTAGAAGAAAAGGGCAGATGTCATGATGTTTTATCTCTGAATATTTAAGAATGTATCTCCTAAGAACAAAGATATTCTTCTATATTATTATACCCAAGAAATTTAATAGTAATATCTAATATTTTGTGTTCAAATTCTCAGTATTTTTATAACAGGTTTTTAAAATAAAGATTGATTGATTATTTATTTATTTATTTGACAGAGAGAGAGAGAGAGAGAGAGAGAGCGCGCGCGCGCGCGCTTGCAAGCGCAGAAGCAGGGGGAGTGGCAGGCAGATGGAGAAGGAGAAGCCGACTCTCTGGCTGAGCTGGGAGCCCAATGCAGGGCTTGATCCCAGGACTCTGGGATCATGACCTGAGCCAAAGGCAGACATTTAACTAACTGAGCCACCCAGGCGCCTCAGATTTTTTTTCTTGATCCAAGAAAACGATCATACATTGCATTTAGTTGTCATTTCTTTTTCTTTTTTCTTTAAGATATTATTTATTTATTTGAGAGAGAGAGCAAGCTGGGGTCAGGGGTAGGGGAGATTCAGGGGAAGAAGCAGACTCTCTGCTGAGCAGGGAACCCCGTGTGGGGCTTGATCCCAGAACCCTAGGATCATGACCTGAGCCAAGGGCAGACACTTAACTGACTGAGTCACCCAGGTACCCCTTAGTTCTAATTTCTTGTTAGTTTCCTTGACTAAAATAGTTCTTTCAGGCCCTTTTTAAAATTTTGAAGCATCTAGGTCAGTTCTGTAGAATATCTCATGTTCTGGATTCCTGTGATTATTTCCTTATTAGGTTCAAGTTAAACATTTTTGGCAATGGCATTATATAAATGATGTCCCTTCCATTCCATCACATTAAGAGGCTCATAGTGACAGTTTGTCTCATTATTGGTGATGCCAACCAAGTTTGATCGCTTGGTTATGGTGGTAGGTAGTCTATAGGGTGATACATTGAGACGCTGACACTTCACCCTTTTACTTGATTTTCCTTGCCTGAATCAATGCGTGTGTTATCTCTTACTATTACTCTTTTCAATACTCAAATTTTCTCACATTTGGCCATCAGAACTCCTGCATGTCTTCATGATGTGGCCCCTCTGTGTTTGAATACCCCCTTGCTCTTTATTACATACAATTCCAGGCTCCAACCCTGGATGCACTTCTTTCTCCAAGGATCTGTTTCCTTTTAGTGAGAAACAGAATATTTAGAAATAAAGGTTATTGATACTGGAGAATCATAACTTCTAGGTTTTTTCAGTGGACATATTTTGAAAACCATTCATCCTCCATTACAATCCATCCATCCATCCACCCAAAGTTCATACTAATCTTTTAGTGTTATTTCAAAAAAAAATTGTCCGATTTTTAAAAATTATTTATTCATTTTTTTGACAAGTGGGAGAGATAAAGGGACAGGGAGAGGGAGAGAATCTCAAGCAAACTCCATATTGAGCATGGAGCGTATGTAGGGCTTAGTCTCACAACCCTGAGATCATGACCTGAGCAGAAGCCAAGAGTTGAATGTTTAACCCAACTGAGCCACCCATGCACCCTTGTCTTATTTTAAGATTTATTTACTCTGTAGAAGAAAACTAGAATATCACTTTTTTGGGGGTCTTTAAAAAATATCCTAATTGTAGAAAAATTAGTGTAGCTTGTGATAAATAACAACTTTCAGTGAATCATATTGAATCAGGTTGGTTATTTAATGAGCTCTTATTTTTGTTGTTAATGTAGTTTTAGGGCAGTGCCGTGACAACATTGATCCAAAAAAATTGCCTATCACTGAAGAGGAGCAGATTTACCCTTGGGATACATGTGCAGCAGTTCATGATGTGAGACTTTCATTATTACAGCGTTATTTTAAGGATGTAAGTACCCTTTTTATCATATAGTATTTTTGTCAGCAAAATTGATGGTTACTTTCTCCAGAGTTTTACTTTTTATTTTTTTCTTCTATCAAATGTCATTCTTATTTGGAATGTTGAAGTTTATTAGAAAAAAAGTTACTACATAGGTAGTAAAGAAATGGAAATCTGTTAATAAGTAAAAATTTCAGGTTGTAAGTGTTACAGCTATGTTTTAAATGTTGTTTATTGTGAGATATTCACATTCAGTTAAATGCAATGATATTCACTCTATAAAAACTTTTAGAATTACATTGAATATTTTATGAAGATTTTTGTCTCCTTTTATTTGCATTTAAAGATACACAATAAGATCTCATTATAATGCTTTAAAAATGTAAAGTAAACAATAACTGAGCTAGTAATGACGAGCATCAGAATAGGATGTGGTTCAGTAGCCTGGACTGAGGAGAAGGCTTCTGGTGGGTTCTTGAGGAGATGGCGGCTCTAGTGAGGGAGGCATTGTGTAGAGCAGAAAGAGTTCAGGTGAGGAAAACTGGAGCCTGATCTTAGCAATGTAAGCTTGCCGGATAAACAGTCTAGGATTCAATTTCTTTGGCTATAAAATAGGGCTCATGTAATTTTTCATGCAGTTACCTACAAGGTTAAAAATTTCTTTAGATCACTTTGCACGTTATAAAGGTCAGTATAAATGTATAGTAGGGTTTTTAATATTTAAGCTAGCCTTTTCAGAGTGCTCAGGTTAGATAGGCCTTATAAGGCAGTTTGGATTAGGGAATGAGGACCATGCTTCCATATGTTTTCAGAAGCTTTAAAAAGAAATTATTATTGTTTGGTAAAAGAAGCCTCTGTGTGTGTGTGTGTGTGTGTGTGTGTGTGCGCGCATGCGTGCATGTGCACACATGCACTGGCATACATATGCACACATTTCACACTTTATTCTCTATTTCTTTTAATTTTTTGCAGCATATATATATATATATATATTAGTCATAGACCAATAAATATCTTCATTTTGAAGAAAATGATTAAATTGTACTAAGTTCTGCTTTTGCAGAAATTTACTACCACCTTTATTTGGATTTTATTCTGTTGCCATAATCCTGGTTTTAATTTTGTCATTTTGAATCACTTTAGAGTAGATGAGTAGAGATGAATCCTAGAGCCAAACAGAAAAGCAAAATAACTTGATCAAATGAGAATATAACCCAGACTTAAGATCAAAATAAGTTTGAGGGAAGGGGAGATCTAATAAAGGAGATAAATAGTATGGTATCTCTTTCTTAAAGTATCCAGAATAGTTATCCATTTCTAGAAAAAAAATCTCTTTTGTAAGAACTCTGAACTGATATCTAAATTGGACAGAATCTCTATTGTGTGTTTGTCAGTGATGTGGGATTTTATTCTTACATATATTTTCACACAATACTTTCCTACTTTCATTGTGGTTATTTATATACATAAATAGTATACACAAAATATCTAGTGTGTTCCCTGGACTGTATACCTCTAGAAGTGTAGGGCTGTTCTTATATCGGTTTTATGGTTCCCTCAGGGCATAGCACATGCTATGTGGGTTGTAGATGCTTACTAGATTTCTTACTGAACTACTCTAGTATGGTTTCATAGGCAGACAGACTCTGTACAGCAGAAGAATTACTGTTAATGGGCACTGATTTTGATTACAGAATTGAACTGTGTAGACTCTGCTCTCTTCACGTGAGTTGCATGCAATTAACAGAGATGACCTATAGAATTTTAGTCATGCAAGTAGTACTGCTGCTGAAACTCTAGAGTATTATATGTAAGAGATGGGACCCAGTAGGGAGGGAACCTGAGCTTTGGAGTCGATAGACTTGGGTTTGAAGTGGGGCTCTGGCATTTGTAACTGTGAGCTTGGTAAATTTTTCATTCCTTTTTTGCAAGGTTTTAATAAATATTGAGGTTAAGATTCAGCATTAAGCAATTCTTAGCACAATGGTGGGCACATCATTGAAATCTTTCTAAAATATTAGTCTTGTGTTAGTAAATGTTTGCTGCCCTTTTTTTCTATCTGATTCGTATAAGAAATCTAACCAGTACATAGACAAATGATGGACTGATTTTAGTTTTTTTTTTCTTTAAGATTTATTTATTTGAGAGATAGAGAGCAGGATTTGGAGGAGGGTCAGAGGGAGAGGAAGAGGAAGTCTCAAGCAGATTTGTGCTGAGCATGGAGCTCGCTGTGGGGCCAGATCTCAAGATCCTGAGGTCATGGGGCGCCTGGGTGGCTCAGTTGGTTAAGTGACTGCCTTCAGCTCGGGTCATAATCCAGGAGTCCTGGGAACAAGTCCCACATCTGGCTTCCTGCTCAGTGGAGAGTCTGCTTCTCCCTTTCTCTTTCCCTCTGCCCCTCCTGCTGCTTGTGCTAATGTGCACGCTCTCTCCCTCTCAAATAAATATATAAATAAAATCTTAAAAAAAAAAAAAAAGACCCTGAGATCACAGCCTGAGCCGAAACCAAGAGTCAGATGCTCAGCTGAGTGCACCACCCAGGTGCCCCCTGATTTTAGTTTTGAAAGCTAACTGCTTTTATTAAAAGGAGAGATTGATTATGTTTTTATAATATATTGCCAAAGAGAGCAGCTTGTTTATTACCTGAGTACCAACCATTCTAAAATGATCTAAATCTGCTACTTCAGGTGGCTCCAAAACATAAAACAGAGATGAGAGGTCTCTGTTGCTTTTCTGATTTGTAACAGTAGAAGTTAGCTCACCTGCTGTGGGTATTTGGTTTGTGCTGTTATGCATCTTTAAATTGGCTGGGAAAGCATTTTGCACTGTGTCATATTTTCAACTTTTAGTTACTCGTGAACAATCTTGATTTAACATTGGAATTTTGTTTGTTATTGTTTAAAGATTATTTGGTTATCTTACATTATAATGTAAATGTTTCATCTCAATGTAAAAATAAAGTTTAAAGGTGTACTCAGTTTTAATGGCTTTTCAAATCTTTAATGAAGTGCTGTCACTCATGATAGACCTTTATTGCTCTCACACGGTCATCTGTTTACTACAGACTGGAGGGTAAACTCAAGTTCAGGCCCAAGTACTGTTTAACAGAGGCCAAATGAAAATTCAAAGAAAATTATTTTAGGAGGAAAAGTCTAAGCCTGTTTATTGGTTGAAGGGAAAAATTTGGTAGGGAAGGAGAGAAGAGTAAGTTGAAGATGTAAGAGAGGGAGAGGCGATGAAAGCAATTAATTTTTAGAACATGTCAAAAAGGTATTATTGCTTATATAATCTGGGTCCCTTCTTTATTGCATATTATATTAAACCTTTGTAAATGTTAAGGTACCTTTTGGGGTTATCTTATGGCTAAATTTGTAGTCTAGAAAAATGTATGGAGGGTGATATGTTATGCAGAGAAGATATTGGAGTCAGGGAGACCAGTTAAGAAACTTTATTGAAGAGGTGCCTGGGTGGCTTGGTTGGTTAGGTGACCAGCTCTTGACTTTGGCTCAGGTCGTAATCTCAGAGATGTGAGATCAAGCCCCATGTGGGCTCTCTGCTGAGTGGGGAGTCTGCTTGGGATTTTTTTCTCTCTCCCTCTCCTTCATTCCCTCCCTACCTCCCCCACCTCACGTGCATGATTGAGCGCGGTCTCTGTCTCTCTCTCTCTCTCAAATAAATTAAAAAAAAAGAAAAAGAAACTTTATTGAAGAACCCACTCCCCCACAACAAATGGTACAGACATGAATGTTATAGTGGGAACAAAGAGGAGGGGCCAAAATCACAAGTTATTTAGGAGATAGAATCTGTGTGGTTTGGGAGCTAATACTGTGGTATGAAGGAAAAGAATGTGATGTAGAATGACTTTTAGCTTTCTGATTTGGTGACTAAATAGCTTGTGGAGTTTTTTAAACCAAGAGGAAAAGAAAGATTCATGGAAAAAATGACACATGTCACATTTGTAAAAAAAAAGATTTTATTTATTTATTTTAGAGAGGGAGTGTGGGCAGACACACATGCGAGCAGCGGGGAGGGCAGAGGGAGAGAATCTTAAGAAGACTCCAAGCTAAGTGCAGAGCCTGACATGGGGCTTGATCCCAGGACCCTACGATTATGACCTGAGCCAAAATTGAGTTGGACGCTTAATCAGCTGAGCCACCCAGGCGCCCCATGACACATTTTTAAATGTTATCTGAGGGACATCAAACTAGAGATTGCAAAAATAGTCAAATATCTGTCACAGAGGCAAACGATCCAAGTTGGTAAGATAGTTGAATTTACTGATTAAAGTCACTCAGGGAGAACAATTTTAGTAAGAGAGTAGTGCAAAAAACATATAACCTTAAGGAATATAAACATTGAAGGGGCAGATGAAGAAAAAAGTCTTAAAAGGAAGCCTAAACCAAATGGTTTAAAGAGATCTGAGGAGCATCAAAAGAGAGTAGCATTATGGAAGCCAGGGGGAAGTAGGTGTTTTAAGAAAGAAGTTGTTATTCCATTGTGTATGTATATATCTTTATATATACCACATCTTTATCCATTCCTCTATCAATGGACAGTTGGGCTGCTCCCATACTTATAATACTTTTATAAATATAGGGGCACATGTATCCCTTTGAATTGAGATTTTTGTATTTCGGGTGTGTATACCCAGTAGTGTGATTATTGGATCATGGGGTAGTTCTAATTTTAACTTTTTGAGGAACCTCTTTACTGTTTTCCATAGCAGTTGTACCAATTTACATCCCTACCAACAGTGCATGAGAGTTCCTTTTTTTCCCACATTTTTGCCAACACCTGTTGTTTCTTGTGTTTTTGACTTTAGCCATTGTGACAGGTGTGAAGTGATAGCTCACTATAGTTTTGATTTGCATTTACCTGATGATGAGTGATGTTGAGCATCTTTTCATGTGTCTGTTGGTCATTTGGATGTTTTCTCTGGAGAAGTGTCTGTTCATGTCTTCTGCCCATTTTTTAAATGGATTACTTGTTTTTTTGGGTGTTGTATAAATTTTTTTAAAAGATTTTATTTATTTGACAGAGAGAGACACGGTGAGAGAGGGAACACAAGCAAGGGAAGTGGGAGAGGGAGAAGCAGGCTCCCCGCTGAGCGGGAGCCTTGTGCGGGGCTTGATCCTAGGACCCCGGGATCACGACCTGAGCCGAAGGCAGACGCTTAATGACTGAGCTATCCGGGAACCCCCCTGGGGGGTTTAATCCCAGATTGCTGGGATCATGACCTGAGCTGAAGGCAGATGCTTAACAACTGAGCCACCCAGGCACCTGAATTGTATAAATTCTTTATGTATTTTGGATACTCTCCCTTTCAGCCATAAAAAAGAGTGAAATGTTGCCATTTACAACATGGGTGAAGCTAGAGAGTATAATGCTAAGCAAAATAAGTCTGAGAAAGATAAATATCATATGATTTCACTCATGTGAAATTTAAGAAACAAAACAAATGAGCAAAGGAAAGAGAGAGAGAGACACAAAATAAGAAATGAACTCTATAGAGAATGAATTGATATTTACTAGTGGGGAGGTGTGTGGGGTGGGGGTGAAACAGGTGATGAGAATTAAGGTGTGCACTTGTGATGAGCACCAGGTCATGTATGGAACTGTTGAATTACTATGTGGTATACCTGAAGCTAATATAACACTGTTTGGTAACTATCATGAAATTGAAAGAAGGAAGTTGTTAATGTCAGGTATCACAGAGTGATATATAGAATAGGTAAAATAATCAATAGCAGAATAGTTTACACTGAAGTATAGTATAATACTGAGAGTTTATTTTTCATGGGGTGGAGAAAGTATAATTTATAATTATTCTTTACGAGCCTAGATATGTGGAAGCTGAAACTTTGTGGTATTTCAAGTTTATAGATACTGCCTTATGACTGTCAAAGGGGTACTAACTTTATATCACAAAAATAGAAAGTTCGCATTAATATGACTATGAAATCATTCAGAGGTTTACGTGGATATATTTAAATAGGTATAGTTTTCTTTTAAATTAATTGTATTTTTTTTTTTTTTTAAGAGTTCTTGTCTCTTGGCAGTATCAATTGGTTGGGAAGGAGGTGTTTACGTACAAACCTGTGGCCACACGTTGCACATAGATTGTCATAAATCTTACATGGAATCATTACGGGTAAGTTGATTTAAAAATGTATAAATCATTCTAGGTATTAAATGTTTTTATAGCATATACATCCCAGTTCATTTTATGTGATTTTGATTGCCATTTGAACTATGCAGCCTTGTGGTTCCTTGACCTCTTCAGCTTTAGGGATTTCAATTTTTTATATCACTTCAGCAAATGATTTCCATGGTAGTAATTTTAGACTTTGCTGCTCTAGCTCTGAAATATTAAGCTTTAAAATATCCTACAATATCATTTTATTATAAGATTATCCTTCAGATTCTCTTATTTTCATTCTCATTAGTGTGTTTGCTTCTGACATCAAGATCTCTAGTCCTTTACCCCTTTGTATATTTCCTAGCATTAGTTCTTTCCTAGCCTCACTTTTTTGTACTATGCCTGTTCTGCTCTGAAGAGCAGTCATTTAATCCTCCTGCCTTGATTTGAGACCCAGACAGCTAGCCCTGCCAGAAAAATCATAAAACTAAGTGAAGTGGTATGTCTGTAAATTTGTGGTTTCCTGTATAATAGCAGCTTAAACTAGGGTTACTAACTGTGGGTACTACTTATCAATTCATTTACCTACCTTTGATTAGTTTCCTCTCCTAGTATCTTTAGCAGCTATTCCAATCCTTTGCTCCCCTATCCCAAGCTCTTCACCTGAACTCCAAGATCCCTTTTCTCTCATCAGATTCTGTCTCTTTCTTTGTCACCAAGAAAACAGTGTGGCTTTCTGTCACATACTAAGCTTAGCTTCTTGCTTTGCTTATCTATTTCCTGACAAATAAGTCTGCATCCCAACCAGTCCTTTCTTTTTTACTCTTTGAGGTAGTATTCCTTCTTCTGTTCAGGAATAATTTTCCTGTTGATGCTCTAGTATTCCTTTCTCCTCTTCACCTCAGGGGCCTTTATCTATTAGAAGGTAACTTCTTTTTTGTTTCTATCTTCATTTTTTCTGCCTATTCTGTCCTTTCTTTCAATTCATAAAGATGCTAAGGTCCCTCTCATTCTGAATTTCTTCCCTTGACTTTGCATTCCCCTGTAGCTGCAGTTTTTCTCTTTTTCTCAGCTCAGCCTCTTAAAAGGATGGCCTTCTTATTTCCCAGTTCCCAACTTAAAAGGAGTGGATTCCTACTTTTCCCTTCGTATCCTTACCTCTCACAATTAGTCACTAAGTAAATTCTACTTATTCTGTCTCTTAAGTATCACTTGACTGTATTCCACTTTTCATTATTCTTCATTTTTGTGTATGCCTTCATCTCTCATCTTGACTATTGCCATTCCTTTCTTATCAGTTTCCTTACTCTAAGTCTAATTTATTCACTACATTGATCTTTCTAAAATGTAAATCTGATGACATATGTCGTTGGCTTAAAAATCCTTTATTGAATTCTTCCCAATGGGATAAAGTTCACTCTTCTTTGAATGGTATTCAGGGTACTTCATGATCTGGGCTTGCCTGTTGCTTTATCTTTATCTTTAATCAATTCAGCATTGATAAACTGTTTAATAGTTCCTTAAGAACATTATGCATTTTTCATACATCTGCAATCGTTCATTCAACAAATATTTTAGTTAGTGTCTATAGTGTTCCAGATACTGTGATAGACATTGGGGATTCAGCAGTGAATAAGAAACAGTTCCTTCCTTCCAGGGGTTTACTATGCCTTGCGTGAGATAGAATAAATAGACAGTTGCAGTATATGTGTTAAGTGTTACTGGAACTTCTCCTGAATGCCAGAACATTTGATGAAGTATCGTGCTTGAGTGATGAGAGGTAAGACTGAAAAAGTAATTAGAGGTCTTACTGTAAAGGGCCTTGTAGTTGGTGTAAGGAATTTGAACTTTATTTAGATAAGTTCTTTACAGAGAGCCACTAAAGTTATTAAAGACTTTTAAATAGAGTTATGACATCTTCAGAAAGGTCATTGTGGCAGCTATGTAGATGGTAGGGGATTATTGTGGGATTGCAGTAGAGTTAGAAAGAATGTGATGATATTTAGGAGGTACAAGATGATAGTGGCTTGAGCTTAGTCATCACACTGGGGATGGAGAAGAGCTTAGAGATTTGAAATATATTTAGAGGAAGTCTGGACTTGGTGAGAGATGACATGTGGAATGTAAGAAGGAGGAAGGAATCAAGATGAGAGATAATTGTGATCACTGAAAGATTTTGATTGGGAGTAAGAGTCTCACATTAGGTGGATCATAGTGGCAACAGTGTGATTGGAAGACTAGTTAGGAGATACTAGCAAAGAGACTAGAAGAAAGAAAGTGGATGGAAGGACTTATGGGATTTATTAAGTAAATATTGGAGTGGAAGAAGGCAGAAAGCTGAAGGAACTGTCATGATTCTCTTCTTTCTGAGGTAGGAGATGTAGCTTTATGCTTCTAGAGTAAAGGAAGCAAGGCTGGGATAGGTGACAGGACTTGAGAAGTGAAGAGGAAAAACCACTTTGGAATTGGGTGAGAATTCTTCATTGGGTGTTGGAGAAAGATTACCTAGAAGTATTCAGGCCTCAGTTGAGTTGGAAACAGCTTGTAGCAAGAAGTTACTTCAGTCTTCTTTAACAACACTTAATTTGAGTACAGAATTAGAGAAGTTATCTACTGGATTAATTTTGTATGAAGGTTTTATAGGGTATGTATGATGGAAGGACATACGGAGGGTGAATGAGAAGTAATGACCAGTTTTTGAAGTGGTACATCATGGTGTATAGGCAGAATAGGAAAGTCTTGATAAACTGAGAGAGAAGGAAGGAACTCAAAGAGGAGAAAGCAGTTGGCAATCAGACTGTAAGCTGTTTGGATTTAATATTTTTAGATATGGACAATTTTGGGTTATTTTAGTATAAGGGGGTGGTCATGGTTACAGGTCATGGTAACGGGTAGGTGGAGGTCAGTGCCATAGGAGCTAATGAGGTCAAAAAGCTGATGGACTAAGATACAAGATTGGTTGTTCCCATACTCACTGAAGTAGCATAAGAGGGTCGTAGGTCTTGGAGCAATGAGGAAAACCAAAGTCTTCAGTGACTGAGGGCAGTGGATGACAGTAAAAAGGAAGGAAAAGTGTGATATCCCTAAATGATATGAGCCACAAAGATGGGAGAATGCAAGAGTAAAGATACTAAGCCAGTACTAGAGATGAGAAGAATACTGAGGTGTGAGGGGTGAGGTGTGAGAAGGCTTCTGGGGAGGCTTCAAGAAAAAACGTAGTTTCAGTCAAGGCAAGGACGAGGATCTAGCATTCTTTAAAATTAAGGCTGTAGGGGAGCTTATAGAATGTCCTTCAATGATCAGGACTCTCACCCCAACTTTCTATATACCCTTCTTGTGTATCTTTAAAAGTTAGCTCACAAGTCTTCTCTGAGAAGCCTTCTCTTTTGTATTTTTCACGCTATTATTATAATTTATTTGTTTCTGTTTGCTTTTATATTGTTAGTACCTACGTGAAGATGTACCTTAAGGGGATGCCTGGGTGGCTCAGTTGGTTAAGCTGCTGCCTTCGGCTCAGGTCATGATCCCAGGGTCCTGGGATTGAGTCCCGCATTAGGCTCCTTGCTCAGCAGGGAGCCTGCTTCTGCCTGCCTCTCTGCCTGCTTGTGTGTACTCTCTCTCTCTGGCAAATAAATAAAATCTTTAAAAAGAAAAAAGGGTACAAGAGAACTTAAAAAAAAAAAAAAAAAAGATGTACCTTAAGTCTTTATGCCCTTACCTGGCATAGCATTTGACATATGATAGGAGCTTAGTAAATATTTGCAGAATTGGATTTAAAAAGATGTGGTGTTTCATTTTTAAGAACTTGAAAAAAATAAATGTCAAAAAGTAAAAAAAAAAAAGTAGAATTTGGTTTTTTAGTCAAAGTATTTGAGACCTAAGATATAGTGAAATGAGCACTAAATTAAGAGTGGGGAAAATTAAATTCTTCCTAATATTGTCATTACCTTTGTAATCATAGACAAATTCGTTTTCTTCTCTTTGTATCCTTCTTTCCTTATTTTTTTTTTTGTTAGTAATAATGTTCATATTGTAGCATTCATACATTTACATTAATGCATTAAAACATATTTTGAAATAAAGCATTAGGTTAGTGGCAGAGTAAGAAAGAAACTGCTGGGAAAAAGAGCGAAATAATGGTTAGGACTACACAATTGTAATAGCCTAAAAGAGCAAAATGGCTGTGTGGTGGTTTCAGGCAAAAGAAAGGAACAGATGTAATAGTCTGGATTCCTGCCTTTAGTCCTCTAGTTAGTTAGCATGTATAGCAGGCTCTCATGAGTAAGAATTTCCTCCTAGGCACATATGTATATGTGTCTATGTTTAAACAATTCTGTTTTCTCTTCTTCTATCAGAAATATCTGAAGGAAAGGTATTACATTAATTTCCCTCATATACACTTACATTTTGAATACTCTAACTGAATCTTTTCCCTATCCATTAAAGCTAAACGGATTCACTGCATAAAGTCCAGTCAGTTGTGTTTGACAGACAAAGACATATCACATTTTTTAGGCTTGATTTATTCTCAGAAGTTATCTATTCTCTATCAAGGAACATGGGCATTGAGAGAATCTTCCCAGTGGTCACCTATAGATTATAAAAACAGGGGCATGGGGTAAGGGGAAGGTGATCCACTGTAAAGTGGCCTCCTTTTTAAGTTATTCTCTATCTTAAATCTGTATTACACATTAATTGCCTCAGTATTTGAATGTTTCATACTGAGAGAAGAGTAAGATACTTAAGATACTTATCATATGAATTCATTAAACAGTTCTTGGTGATGTGTTGCATGATTGCCATGTTGAAAGAAGTGATTTGATAAGCTTCAACAGTCAAATGAGAGACATTGTTTATGTTTTTTTCTTCAAGTAACATCATCTTTTTTTTTTAATTTAAATTCAATTAATTAACATATAGTGTATCATTAGTTTCAGAGGTAGAGTTTAGTAATTCATCAGTTGCATATAACAGCCTGTGTTCATTACATCAAGAGACTTTATGTTTTTATGACATATTTTAGAGATGTCTTTTTTTTCTTTTTTGGCCTGGTTCATTTGTTTACTATAAAATGTAATGGTGTAAATTTTGTTTTCTATAAAGTGCATTATAAATCTGTGTGTTTATTTCATCTTTTAGAATGATCAGGTTCTTCAGGGCTTCTCGGTGGACAAAGGAGAATTCACGTGTCCTCTCTGTAGGCAGTTTGCTAACAGTGTTCTTCCTTGTTATCCTGGGAGCAATGTGGAAAGTAACCTTTGGCAACGTCCTAGTAACAAAAGCATACAAGATCTCATAAAGGAAGTGGAAGAGCTGCAGGGACGGCCGGGAGCTTTCCCAGTAAGCATCAGTGTAAGGCAGAAATATCCTGGTAAACTCAGCTCTGCTTTCAGCTCTCATTTTCGTTCCTTTCATTTTCATTCCTTTCTAAATTACTCTGGACCTTTGAATCTTTTTTTTTTTTTTTTTTTTGACCTTTAAACATTTATCAGCAATTACTTTTAGATGTTTTTCTCTTCTATTTGTGGTTACTAAAAACAAAAATGATAATAATGGAACAAATTATTACCAAAGGCTATACTTTTCCTTAGTCCAAATTGCTATAGTTTTAATATACTTCTTCCAGATCATGAAGTTCTATAAGCTTAGATATGGTTAGACTCTTTTAAGATGTTGAAATCTTTAAAAACATAGTCTAATCATTTAAAAATATGCCCATTAGGTATATTAGGATTAAGATGATGCATTTATACACACACACACACACACACTTTATATGTATGTAATTATAGATTTATGCACAATTTATGTGTGTGTGTATGAGATAAAATATCATATACTTGATTGAACCATTCACTGAAGTCAGTCTACTTTATTGTGGGATTTGGTGTAAGTGAACCCATCTTTTATCCCATCCAGTAGGATTTATTTATTTGATTTAAATATTTAAATATTTCACTTTCATTATAGATTTAGGATATAGTATCTGAAAGAAGTGATAATTGTGCCTAGTTTAAGCAGCGAATTTATGAAAACTATTAATATTTGACTTTTGAAACAGAAATTCATAGTTAAATGCTACTCAAAGATTTCTCTCCTCACAGTTTCTTTTCTCAGTTGAAGACTAATTTTAGAATCTGTGATTTTTTCTTCCCTTGGTAAATCCAAATTTTTATGTGTTTAAAATATGCTCAAAGCAAGGGACATCAATATTAGTCTTTGAGAAGAGAATGTAAATGAAAGATTGCTTATCAACATGGAATTTGTTCTAAAATATTATTTTAATGACATCTACTCATTTCTTTAGAATGTAGGTTTGTGTGGTTAATTCATGGTTAGATTATAGGCTAACCAATCACAATATTGAATTAGGATAAAATAGAAGAAGATATTTCTTAATCTATTTTATCTTTCTGCACTAAGTATATTTATAGTGGATAGCTAATGTACATCTGTTTTAACTTTTTAACTTTTAATTTCCTAATGAATTCATATGATAAACATTGTAGTGTTGGACTATTTTAGAGAAAATGAATATAAATAAACTTGATATGTATGTTTGCATTTTTTACAGTCAGAAACCAACTTAAGTAAAGAAATGGAATCTGTAATGAAAGATATCAAAAATACTACTCAGAAAAAGTATAGAGACTATAGCAAGACCCCAGGTTCACCAGACAATGATTTTCTCTTTATGTATTCTGTTGCTAGGTAAGTATACATGGTATATACTTTAATATTTACTTACTCTGAATAGTTGGTTTTTGTTTTATTTATGCCATTAATATTTATTTGAAGAAAGGGGGTGTGTATTTTTTATGATGCTTGAAATTATGGCTAGTTTTCAAACCTTCTCAAAGGATCATAAAATGTAGGTTTCCTTCATTTTCTGAAGAGTTTTTATTTTCATGAAATATTGGGTGAAGTGTTATTATATATTATAGAATATGTGGGAAAAAGTGTATTATTAACATTTTGGGACAGATGTCTACCTCGAAGCATGTGAATATTAAATATGAAGGGTCTTTTTAAGAAATCACTGTTCAAGTCCTGTCAAAAAGTAATAATACTGAAAAGGAATACAGTGTAATATGTTAAACACTTTTAATTTCTTTTTAATTTATTTTAAGTAAGAAGAACTTACTTTGTTTTAAGCCAGTAAAACAGTAATATCCTGTAGGTGGTTTAGAAAATCAGATGAGGGAGATGGAGCGAGTGATCAGGCAAGTTCTAAGCCTATATTAGTAGCTAGCCCAGCACTCCAGAAAACAGTACTGAATTACTATATTCAGGTTTTATTATATTTCCAAAGAACCTCTGTTTTCTGGAGATACTTCAGAGATACTCCTCATCTTTCATGTAGGTAGGATTAGTCTAATTGACTGAGTGGGTGTTTAGTAACTAAGAAATGGTTCTAAATAGGGATTTTAGAAAACGTAATTGAATGAAAATGGAGAACCATAAAAGAAGTAAATAGGCAAGAAGCAGGTACAATTAGAAACTTGTAAACACATTCTGCCAGAATTGATGTTGTAGACCCCTGGATATCTCTAGAAGTATATACTTTTTTGGTGTCTTGTCCCAAGTAGTATTATGATAGGTAAGATTTAGAGAGAGAATATAACTTGAATGTCATGCAGGAAATTAGTGCCATGGAGGACTACAACTCAGATCTGAGTCAAGGTCTGTTTTACTTTCAATTATTATCCTTCTTTTTCCTTCCTGTATTCAACTTTTATAGGTCATATGTACATGCAGTTCACCGGGCCAGTCTCTCTGCCCCATTCACGGACCAGAGGGTAACAAGAGTAAATGAACTATATGCAGTCTTTAGAACCCAGGAAAAAAGCAACCAGACTTAGGCAAATTACAAGCAAGTTAGAGCTCAAGATAAGGAAACATTAGTGTTTCGTTGAAGAATGCAAATGCCAGACATGGATTGATGTAATAGAATGTAATGGATTGGGAAGTAACTTTCTAGTCCGTACATTCCTAAACTGTTGTTGTTATTTATCCAGAATGCTTCAGGAGAAGATATAACAGTTAATTCAGCATTTTGTGTCTGGAGAGTTACCAGCTGCATGCTTGCAATAAAATACACTTTATGTGAAAACTAAATTGAGTATGATTTAATTTTGCCATGGTTTCAAGATTTTAAAAACCTTCTATACCATATTGCGGTAATAATGTTGTAGAAAATTGAGATAAATATAGACCAACTCAGTTATGCCATGTATATATGTGTCTGTTTATATAGATGTATATGTGTGTGTGTGTGTGTGTGTGTGTGCATGTGTGTAAATACTGTATTTATGTTTCTTATGTATTTATGCTTATGTATTTTCCTTAAGATTGATCTTATAAGAAAATTCTGGGTGAATAGGAATGATCTCTCCATGGAATTTTTTTATAGTATGATAAATCAAATGCCTTGACTTAAATTTAGTTTAGTGGAAGTTTTAGATTCCTATTTCTTGAATATATAAATTCTTGTTTTCTTCCTATATAGCTTGCTGTGGTAATAGACTTTTTAGGTCAACATATTTTGGTTTTTCTCATTTATTGGGAAGCAGGGACAGATATCAAATGTTATTTACTATGGGTGTATATAGAGAAACAGAAAATGTGTTCTCCTTCCATTTTTCTCTGATTGCTCATGATAAACTCCAAAGCAACAAGATAACCCTTCTGAAAATCAGAGTATGTAACCCTTAAAACACTCATTATCCTTTGGTTAAAGTTATGCAGGCCATTGTGAAGTTCTCACAGTGAGATTGCATGCCTTCTCTAAGTTTTACTTAGTTATTAAAGAGAAAACAAAAACCAAATTAGCTAAAAAAAATTAACAAAAACATGAATTGAGAGAAAAAAGGATGTTGTATCCTATTTGGATAGAATGTAATTTTCTCAAGGTAAGAAACTGGTCTTTATAGGTATCTAATGCTTAGCATATAACATTATTTCACAAATATGTATGATTACAGATTATGCTTATTTTCATGCCTGAAAGGTAGGCATTAAAATATTTGGTAATATTTAAAATGCTTAAATGTTTAAGTGAACTATTTAGAAGTAAACTTATTTTGAGTTATTTAACTTTTAAATTAAATATTGTGATTCTTAAATGTATAATCCATTAGGATGAGCACATTTATTTGTATTTGACATTAGAAATTTGAGTGGAATATAGCCCTTGTTTCCCAGAGCTGAGTTTCTCTCCACTGAATGAGCAATTCAGTTTGTTTTTTACGGAACTTAAATTTTTTTGTTGTTTAGGTACAAAATATTTCTAATGGTTAAGTAGCCTGTAAAGCTGTTAATTTTAGTAATTGTTTCAGAGGATTTTTTTGTTTTGTTTTTTGGTAGAGCACTTTATCCCTTTGTTTTTTATTTTATTTGCATGGTGAAGCCTTGGAGGATTTTTTGAGGGCAGCAGAGAAGAAATTGTTGGAATGGTATCTTTCTCTTACATTAAAATTAATCAAAATTACTATATTCAGGTTTTATTATATTTCCAAAGAGCAGTCTGTTGCAAATACCATTCAGATGGATTATGGAAGGTTAATTTGGGGGAGGAAAGCTTTCCTCATTTAAATACCAGTTCATTTTTTCTTAATTGAAACAATAAATGAGACTAATTTTAATAATTGATTTTTCCAAGGGTTTTGGACTCAGGTTACACATAGCCTAGAGGTATTGGTGAGTGACACTCGGCCTTTATATAGTGAGAAACATTTAAATGGAAAGAAGATGAAACATGAATAACTGAGCTATAGCTGGAGAGATATGTTTAAGTCACAGTGGGTGAACTGCTCAGTAGAGTGAGTCGACTTACTTTACATACTAGTTGCATTATAAGTTTAAACTTTATAAACTAAGTATTTTCAAAACAAAAGGAATGTTTGCTAAAATACCAAATTATGAATCCTTTTTAAAGCCAAGAAATTCTTTGATAAAATACCTTTCCTTCCCCTCACCCCTTTTCATGTCTGAATGTAAGGGAATCGAAGGAAGGGTCAACAAAATAAAGAGAATAAGCTATGGGGACTAAAGAGAATCTTACCATTGGTTCCATACCCAAACAAAGAGATTTCTGGTTCCTAAGGTGTTTTTGAGCACTTTGCTATGTACCATCAGGGATTTAGAAACTTTATCTGAAATGGTCCCTGATCTCCAGGAATTTACCATTAGTTGGAGAGACAAAACCAATATACATCAGTCCGTATAAAACAGAATAGAGTTTGTTTTAAAAATATCATATTGAAAAAGTGCTATAGAACTTTAAAAGGGAAGATGAACAAATTGAAATATAAAGTACTTGGAAATGTTTCTTTCCTGTCTCAAGAAAAGGGAATTAATTCTCCCTAACTCCTAGAAGAGTTAGAATTTGAGCTGAGTCTTGTATAATATAGCCTATGGTATGAACGAAGATATTTTTTCTCTCTGAGGTATTGGGTAACTTGCTCAACCAGTAAGTGGTAGGCTTAGGCCTTGAACCCACACAGACATCAGTACGTGTTTGAGTGTTTCTGTATGTGCGTGTGTATACACACATTTGTTTTTTAAATTATAGCTCTAAAAATAGAAGTTCATACCAAAGGAGGGTGGAGAGGGGATAGAAGGGAAAGCAGACCTCAGTCATGCAAAAAGAAGCTGGAGCATAGTTGGAGGAGTTTTTAAATGGAATATGTAGGTGGGCGCCAAGATAGGCTGTAAGTAATCTTTCTCATTATTATTTCAGTTACAGATATTTTTTCTTTTTTTTTTAATTCTTTTTTTTTTTCCTTTCCAAACTAATTGGAATAGATTTGTGTTAGGAATATAAAAAGTAGAGTCTACTTTTCTTGGGAGCAATCTGTATTTTTCTATCATCCATTCAGGAGGGCAGAAACAGAATATTGTGTTGGGATTTTCAATAGTTAGAGAAGATCAGACAGACATAGAGCCTATGACATGTTTGTGTGTTCGATTCTCTAGCAAGTTTCAACTTAAAGGGCTAGTTTTGATGTAAGTGAAATCAGGAAAAGCTGAGGGTTAGGGTCTCTGACATATTGATTTTTTTAAAGTCCTAGGTTATTACATGACACTAACTGTTTGGATAGGTAGGTTTTTTTTGGTTTTGTTTTGTTTTGTTTGTAATGTCAGGAGGAATGTTTTTTTAAGAGATTTTCTAGCCATAATCTGAAATAATTAGATTTAGTAGTTTTCTTTCAAATATTCTCTAAAATCAAACTCCTGGTAACATGTTTATCAGCCTTTGAGGTATTTTATTTGATGATTGAATAAACAGAATTGTTCTTATATTTATATCTTAATGAATATTTTTGCAAACTGTGCTAAAATAAAAGTTGACATTCTGGTTCTGACATTCGTTGGTAAAAATTGATCGTGTTTCTGGTTAGCTCTTTTAAAAGTACAATCTAGGAAATCTTAGTTTTTATAAGAGAATATAGCCGTTAATTTTTTTCTACAGATTAGGCAACAGAAGATTTGTGAAAACAAAATATATTGATCTCATTTATATTCCCTTGATGAAGGAACACATGCTGGTCTCCGCTCGCTTTCTGTCCACTAATATGAAATCCTTGTCCCTGCTTCCTTGCTGGTAGGTTTTTAGAAGTTCAGTGAGCAATGCAAATCGCCTGAAGGGTGGAAAATTCCCTTGTCACACAGATGCCCTTATCAGCAGCAACCAGATGGAGCTCTGAGCAGGAACATTATCAATGTTAAATTGCTTTTCCCCCACCCCAGTAGAGAGGATTAAAGCATTCCTTTAAAAATGGGTGGCAGATATACAGATTTAAGAATATTAATTTTGTTAACAGTTTGCATTTATAAGTAAATATATGAAAATAATGTTTCAAAAACATTTTGTGTTAAAATACAACCCAAACCAGTTCAGACTGTTTTAAGTAAAATAGGATCATATTCTTCCTTGAATTCATTTGCAAAGTAAGCTTAAAATTTTGCCTTTTTTTTTTTTTTTTTTTTAAGACGAGGATATCTCATTGCTAATGTCAAATGCATATTTTGGATATAAATTAGTTTATTCGGTTTTAGCAATGGCAAATGAAGATGTGTTTAAGTTTATTAATACTGTTGAAGTAAAAATACATGCATTATATCACTCACAATTTTCATTTATTCTGACAAAGTTCATTGGCTATTTTACTATATTTTTTTTGAGTAAATCTTTAGATTCTGAAGCAATTTGATTTTTAAAATGTCAATTTATTAATTGTAACTAATCTGTAAGCTAAAAATTGCTAAATATATTATAATTTCAGATCTATATGAACTTTTTTGATGTTTAGCAGTGTCAGGAGTTACACAGTGTACTTTCATAAAACTGTAATTTTAGAAGTCCATAGAAGAGGCTACTGTTCATTATATGTGTTGTTCATACCTACTATGATGTTAGTGATTTTGTTAAATATTGATTTCTAGAAACCACCTAAGCTCTAGTGAGTGATAATCATTTCTCTGATAAAAAGTTGGTATGCCCTTGTGTTTTAGATGACAGTAACCACCTACTACTCAGTGGCTAACAGTTGGGTATAAGCTCTTTCACCAGATTCATGTGCGGGTTTATGAAGTGTGTTGCTGTTGTTTTCCTTAAGGCCCAGTTTTCAGTATTTGCCAACATTTGGGGTTTTGCAACAATTACATTATGATGTGTACAGTTTTGAGGTTATAAATATGAACATATAAGGATATGTTTCCCTTTTTATTTCTAAATATCAGATAAAATATTATTACAGATGTTCCATAAACTATTCATAAAGTTCGTCAACTTTATTATTTAGGTTCATTCAGACATATCAGTAAAACAAATTAAAAAGTATCGCTTCAGCCTAATTGAGATATATTTTAATGCTTTACTTACAGAACCAATTTGGAACTTGAATTAATTCATCGGGGAGGCAATTTGTGTTCAGGTGGTGCAAGCACAGCTGGCAAACGCTCTTGCTTAAGTAAGTAGTAAAAAGTGTAAATTTAAAAACATTTTAAATTATGTCATTTTTGAAAGCCTATACAAACAAATGGTCTTTTGATGTATTTTCAGATTCTTTTTATATGACATATAATTGGTTTTAATGGTGATTATATGCTTTAAATGGCTAATCTTATACTTAAAAGAATCATATGAATATTTAGCTCTTTCTATACTATGATTGCTCAGTAAATAAATGCCATACCGATAGATCAGATTTACATTGGCTCAAAATTAAGCAGTGTGGTATCCTTGGCTATAAAAAATTATCTTTAAACTTAAATTTTTTAAAAGAATTTTTACATTGTCTAGATTTAAGTAAATATTTTTATAAAAATAATTTGTGTTGCCTGCAGAGTCCTATAATATACAGTGCTGCTGTTAATTAATGAAGGCATTGTACTATATTTTGATGTGAACATTAAAATGTATTAAAATTATGGATGTTTGGTTTTATTTATGAATATATATTGTAAAATGAGCATGATTCTTCAGTACTTCTTGTAAGGGTAGAGAAGTGTCATTTGGAACTTAATGTAGATTCTTCATAGTGATGGTATCACTATTTAGCAATTGTTTAGAGAATTAATATGAATACTAGGGGTAATATTACATAATGTCAAGTATAGCTAATTATTAGTCCCAAATCACTGGAGTTAAAATATTACCTAACATGACTGGTACAGAAAATAAAAAAATTGTTTAAAATACATAGTGTATTCTTTTGAAAAATGAATATATTTTCTTAAATGCTAAAAATATTAGTAGTTAATAAAAATTATCAACACATAGGTTTTTCAAAAATATATGTGTGTACTTAAAGATTTTATTTATTTATTTGAAAGAGAGAGAAATATGAAATAGTGAGAGAGAGCACGAGTGGGGAGGAGAGGGAGAAATAGGCTCCCTGCTTAGCAAGGAGTCTGATGCCGGGCTTGATCCCAAGACTCTGAGATGATGATCAGCCAAAGGCAGATACTTAACCGACGAGCCACCCAGGCGCCCCCAAAATATATGTGTATTATTATGAAAAGATACATATGTGACTTGGGGATGATTTCAAAGCAAAGGACTGATCAAAGACATCTTAAAATATTCATTTTATTTTAATTAATTAATTAATTTTTAAGTAGGCTCTACGTTCCAGCAGGGAGCCCAACATGGGGCTTGAACTCATCATCATGAGATAGAGACCTGAGCTGGGATCAGGAGTCAGATGCTTAACTGACTAAGCCACCCAGATGCCTCTCTTGAAAAAAATTTTTTTTTTTTTAAATATTTTATTTATTTGACAGAGAGAGAGATCACAAGTACGGAGAGAGAGAGGAGGAAGCAGGCTCCCTGCCTAGCAGAGAGCCCGATGTGGGACCCGATCCCAGGACCCTGAGATCATGACCTGAGCTGAAGGCAGAGGCTTAACCCACTGAGCCACCCAGGCAGCCCACTCTTGAAATTTTTAATGTAAAGATATAAACTTATGTGAAATTTCAACTGAGTTACTTTTAAAATTCTTACTAATTGTATTAGATTTTGATTTTTTTTTTTTTTTTTTTTGTTATCACTTGATTCCTAGAAATGTAAGGTTTTGGAAGTTACTTTTTACTGAATATCTAGTATTTACTGACTTTTACATACTTAAGCCCTACTTACACCCAGTGACTTAGTATTATGTTTTAAAGGAGAAGTTGTTGATACATAGAAGTTTTAGCTTCTAGACTGTTTGAATTAGCAAAAACTGTAAGTTCACTTATTTTAATTATCTTTTCTTATTAATTTATTCTTAATTGTTGTTTGGCATTGGCTAATAATAATCCAGAAATTGTTATATTAGGAAGTATTTAGTAAAGGAATTTCAGTCTTATGTTCAAAAGCTGTACTTCATTTTTTCCCCTCTGAGGTACTTACATTTATCCGGAGACTTGTAAATAACGAATTTATTCAGAATCTTAAAAATGCTGGTGTAAAATTCTAGCAGTGACCACTTCAATTAGCGTCCTTAATTTAAATGTAAATTATTAAATTGATAGTTACTTCCACTTTCATTTCTTTTTATTTCCCCTTTTGTGAATAAGCAATCAAAACGTGCCAGTATAGAAAAGGTCCTGATGAAGATCATCCTAAATCTAAATTTAATACTATTTTTGGTTTTCTTTTTTTTAATGATTTATGTTAGTCCTTTCCCCCCCAAACTTTATTGAAGTATGATTGACAAATTATATTGTATACAGTTGTATAGGTTGTACAACATGTGCTTTTTGCTTTTAGTTTCCATATGATTTATTACTGTTTAATTGCTTACACATTATTTATCCTAATGTAGAATGTATTTTATGTTGTATAAAATCCCACTATTTTGCAAGTGTATAAACTTGAAGTATTTGTTGTTTACACAAGCCTAACTCAAACCTGATTTGTTGAACACCAGAACTTAAATTGATGGTATGTCTTAGGACCTTAGATCAAGTATTTCATTTTTTTATTTTCCAGTAGAATTTTAATGGTATTATTAAAGATTCTCTCTTTTCTCTAGAGACTCCTCATAAGTCAGTATTTTCCCATTTCCATTTATTGCTCTTTGTTACATTTTAAATATTTCATTTTCAAGCATATGTATGTATGTATGTATGTATGTATTTGACAGAGAGATAGCACAAGTAGGCAGAACAGCAGGCAGAGGGAGAGGGAGAAGCAGGCTCTTTTCTGAGCATGGACCCTGATGTTGGGCTCGATCCTAGGACCCTGGAATCATGACCTGAGCCGAGGGGAGTTGCCTAATGACTGAGCCACCCATGTGCCCCACATACCTCATTTGTAAAGTGTTTGTTTTTCCATAATATTTTGGGGAAAGAGTAAGAAAGTGTTCCACAATTAAGCAAATTATATGGAACTTACACTTTGGAAAGTGTTCCATTATAACTTCTTGATAAAATTGAAGATTAGTCAAGAAAAGATTTAATAAGTTTTGCCTGGAGCAGCTTGAATGATGCCCAGTATATAATTATGGATGGGGAAACACACACACACACACACACACACACAGATTTGAGAGCAGGAGAAGATTGCTTTTTCTATAACAATGAAAGCAGAAAAATATTACTGGCAAAATTTATACTGAGAGATAAAATTGTAGTGGTACAATGCCATTCAGCACTTACATGTTCAGATTTTTTAAGTAAATAACCAGTACCCAATCATAATAAAAGTTCATTCTTAAATATGCATCTGGGAAATTTTTCAAAGTAAAAAATGAGCAAAATTTATCAACAAAGCAGCATACTATGGTATTTTAATAATACTTAACGTTTGTATTTTTAAAGTTTATGAAATACTTTCACATAAGTTATTTAGTCGTATAGAATGACCATGTGAAATAGCTGTTATTACTTTTTCATAGAAAAGGAGACTGAAATTCAGAGTGGTTGCCTTGCCAAGTCATAAGCTGGCAAATACAGAGCTTGCTCTAGAATCCAGCTATTCTGACTCTAAATTCAGTTATGTAACACATATCCCTTGCTTGTTAAGTGTCCCAAAGGATACAGAACTTTTAAGAACTTTTACTCACAGGTTTAGTCAGTGACTTCTTACTGCCTTGGTATCTTTCCAGGCTCTGCCTGCTAACACTTCTGTTGTTTTACCTATTTTCTTTAGTCAACCTTTCACTAAGATTCCTATTTTTGTTTTGGGCCACTCCTTTCAGATATTTTCTCAAGTCCTGATTCCTTCTTCCTTGGATACCAGTTGAGTTTTCTTTTATTTTTCATCAGTTTGCTGGCTGGTTCCCCTTGTTTGAGATCATATTTAGCTGGTAAAATCAGTGATGCTTTTGGTGGACATGGCACCTGAACAAGACTATAAAAGATAAGTGAATTTAGGACTTTTTTGCAAATTGATATATACACTGATAAATACCACCAATTTTATTAGCAGTAGATGTAGGACAAAGCAGATGTAAAAATTGAAGGATAACTTTTTGTTAAGAATAATGTTTTATTAAAATTAGTTAATTTCTTCATTCAGGTAATTCGTAAGTGGATACAGAGCTCCATAGAGTCCAGTGAAATTAGTAGCGCAACAATTTCTTGAGTAAAAAATGTTGAAACCACTGGCTAGGGTGTGGTGGAAGGAAGAGGTGTCATTTGATAAATTATTAAGTTTTTAAAAAATGTCTATCTTTAGGTAAACAACATCTTTCCCTATCTTTGGGTCTGAGGCTTTCTGCATATTACTGTTGTTTAAGAAACTACAGATCTCATCACAAATGAATTTCATGACTTTTTAAAAAAGATTTTAGTTATTTATTTGACAGAGACACACAGTAAGAGAGGGAACACAAGCAGGGGGAGTGGGAGAGGGAGAAGCAGGATCCCCACCAAGAAGAGGGGAGAAGCAGGGAGCCCCATGTGGGGCTCAGTCCCAAGACCCTGGGATCATTACCTGAGCTGAAGGCAGACACTTAATGACTAAGCCACCCAGGCACCCCGAATTTCATGATTTTATAGAGAGATTAAAAACTAAACTTTAGTCGAGAGGGGTTATGGCAGACTTTGCTTTGACAGCTTCATGGGGGGGGTCTCCAACTTAATTTTGATACAGTTTATGATCTTATCAAGAATTGATGCATGTGGTGAGTAATTTTGATACAAGTTATGATCTTATCAAGAAATGATGCATGTGTTTTGTTATTCACAGAAAGCAATCCAGCTTTGATGTGTACAGGCAACTTAAAATAATTTTAATTGCTCAAAGAATGAATTTTTGTTGAATTCAGAGTTAGAAGAATTATTTAATGTTAATTTCATCTTACTGTAAGACTACATAAAGATATTGTTAAGATCGCAAAATTTCTCGTAAGTAGTCTGACCTTGTTCTTTAACAGTGGTAAAATTCTAGTATCTATAGCTTATTACTGTCTGTTTTTAGATTTAAAAATTATGAATTCTATAAATAGGTTGAATAACAACTTTTGTTCTATTCTTTTTG